TGGGAATTTTGTGACTGTATTTCCTTTTACCAAAGTGCTTCCCCTTAATTTTCACTTTTATTCAAAGATTAAAGATAAAAATTTCCTAAAGTGTCTAGTCCATTCTTAGTCTTATGATCTAATTAAGAGAAATTGGAAGATTTAAGTCCATTAACTAACTGATCTTTAGTTATCCCCTTCACCTGTCTTAAATTACAATTTTTCTCTTAAGCTCACCATAATTTTTAACTTGTATAGTCTATTCTTTCTGACAGATAAAAATGAAGACAGTTGTCTCAGCATTTTGCCACCTCCCCCAATAGCAATTGTCTTGTTCTTTCAAATCTTTAAAAACAACTTTAAAATGTTGGATTTCACTAATATCCACTGATTTTGTACATAATAAATGCAATTTTCCTTTCAGTTTTACTGGTAGTCGTGTGTGTCTCCTATCTCACTTCTACTATAGTACGTGTCTTATTCTTTCATTTTCTGTGAGGAACGAAAACTTACCCATGCTCTCAAGAAAGTCACGGCCCAGAAGTAAAGCTGGAATACTTCTTAGATGTTAGGAGTCAGGAAGAAATGGGATGAAAAGATTCATGTACCTTGTTGTAAAAATTCAGAAAATAGAACTAATTTTAGATGATTTGATAGATAGATAGATTGACTGATTGATAGATTGATAGATAGATAACTAAAATAATCCTTTCTGGAAGAACTTTAAGCTGGTTTCAAAGAATCCCCAACCCAAGTAAATGGGTGTGGAAATGACATAAAGTCCTATGTAATATACACATGTATACATACACACATGTATATAATACAGTGTATGATGTGCATAATGCTCCAAATATAGTCCTAGTGAGGAAAGGACAGGATAAGATTATTAGTTGGTCATATGCTGAAAGATACTATAACACACAAAATTATTAACATATATGCAGATTAATATGCCATGTTTTACAAAATTAATGACATTAGCATAACAATTATGTTCCCATTACCTGAAAATTTTGATCAACATTTGTGCTTCTTAATCTACTAAGGAGACCTGGTGCATTTTGATTTTAATTTCTTGAGATATCTTTTTCCAAAGAAAACTACATCAATTTCAAAATAAAATATGTCCACTTTCTTCCCATAATCTTTCCTATGATCTTCATCTTTTTAATATTAAAAAATTAAGCCCAGAATAGTATCATTACTGTTTTTCTGACTACTTCCTTTGAATTTGACCTATTGACATTTTTTAAATAATCAAATTATAAAAAAATAAGAATTTTCATGGAGGCAGTACACATATCAAAGTATAACATTCAACTTCATTTTTAAACCTGAGATGGGAATCAATGGCAATATTGAAATCTATAAAGAAAAGAATGACAAATGAGAATGTCTGTACGGAAAAGAAGGGAATGACAATATGACTAAAGGTGCTACTAGAAACAGAAAAATAAGAGGTAAGCAAATATTACTTGATGCAAAATTGCAGGATGGTTTTGGTATGTTAGAATGCAAAAGGAACAAATGAGAGTTGAATTTTTAAGAGAGGAGAGAGTACATTTTTCACTGTTAAAAAAATCTAGAAAGAAATGCCTTAAAGACAAAAGGGTATGACGATGTCTTTTTGAGTTTAGTGGTATGTGAACTGATGATAGAAACTAGACAAGCACCAAGATAGTTTAAAAAAAAAGAAGATAAAAGTCAGCTACTGTAATTCCAGCCGCAGTCTAACTGCCTAAGATTAGATAAGAAGGAACACATTTCCAGTCCAAAAAACATTAACCTGTTATGTTTTATGCATATGTCAAATTTAAGTACAAAAGCACCAAGGATTCTAATTAAAGTACTATTAGCTGGGCAGTAGTGGCTCACATCCTCAATCCTAGTTAATCTCAGAGACCTTGAGATCTGAGGATCACTGTTTAAAGCCAATCCATGCAGGAAAAGTCTGTAAGACTTTTATATCCAATTAAGCATCAAAAAGGTGGAAGTGGAACTGTGGCTCAAATGGCAGCACTAGCCCTGATCAACAAAAGCTCAGAGATAGTGCCTGGGCTCGTAGTTCAAGCCCCAACACCAGCACACATACACAAAAATTACCATGTATCATTACATATAATATTATTAAAGTCACAGAAGGAGAACTATGTTTATGCTGTCTTTTTCGTGAGTTTGTTAGATACCTTTACAATTTGTGAACTGCATAGTTAAAATGAAGCAATGATTTAAACAATTTGCTACTCTGGTTCTTTCCTTTACTATCTGTATATCCTACGGCCCATGAACTTCATGCAATGAGGTTTTTTACAAAAACTAATGTCACATCATCCAGAACTTTCTAGCAATAAACATGGCATACTGCTCTCATGGATTTTAATGATCAAATTTTACTTCTTCTACCCTTTTCTCTCCATGATGCCATATCTCTTGCAGAAAGATGGATAAGGAATGCAGTATTGTTTAAAAGTAAAGGCTAAGGTTACAAAAAAGTTAGACCATACAGATCTTCCTAAGAAATACATGAATATGCAATTGAGCAGTACAATCAATGAACACTGATTCTCAACCAAAGCAAAGCAGTTCTGGCCCTTTCATGAAAATTAAATTTACATGAATGAAAAAGTAGCATTACCTAAATACACAACGTTTTAAAATAGAAAGCATTAGAACCATACATATAATTTGACAAGATGTTAGATAAAATATTCAGTACTGTGCATGTGTTTTAAGACTTCTATATCTCTAAATATCAGGAGACCTGAATTTCTTAGATTTGGAGCTTCATATTGTAATACAATCTTCCTTCACAGTTTTATTTTTCCTCTTTCCCATTAAAGGGTGTTGTAAGCCAGAGTTCAGTGTTTTCCTCTTCTTCCATTTTCCAGGTCTGCTAGGTAAAGCCAAGGCCTCAAAGCATCCTCACATATACCCTGCAGCTTAGATCCCAGAGCTCAGGCTTTTATTTCCCATTACTGGTCTTAAGTTGGCCCAACAATGCTGGAAAATACCCAATAGCTAAAGCAAATCCTCCACACTACTGCTTTGGCCAATTTTAGGAGGAAATTTCTATTTTAATGTAGTGAAAAAATGGGCTGATGACAGAGTGGAATAAAAAATCCATATTCATTTTTAAATGAAAGTTACAGACTTAAATTTGTTCCTGCTTAAGGATAGGTAAGTATATTTAGTTACAGATATTGTGATAGATATACCTGAGAAATTGCATTGTATTAAACACATGTACAAGATAGCTATTCCTATTTTTATGTGAAGAACGCTAGGTGTAAAGGGATTTGCATAATATGAATGGATAGGTAAACTATGTAGTTAATCAAGTCCTTCACCACTGACGCCACCAGCATTATCTCACAAACTCAGCCAATTCTCAAGGCTGTCCTAAGTTCTTGGAGGATCTGTTTATTTCTTAGCCTCAAGCTCAGGTCGAGGTATATTTTGTACTTCCTTTATCAGTGCATACATTTATTATTGTACAGCATTACTATGGATTATAGAGGGATACTCATTTAGTACTATAGAACTTATTCACTGTGAGTCTTATTAAATAATATTATATGCGAGTAAGGATACGTCAAAATAAAACCACCTTATCCAACGAAAGGGTGCTAGCAAAATAATATGACAAAGAAAACAAAGAAAAAGTTAAATGGGAGCATTACACCAGGTTTTGAACCAATTAAGACACGGATATATGTATAAGGACAACCCTGTGAAGGGTCAGGGAGAAGATGGGCATCTCCAAGCCAAGGAAAAAGACTCAGAAGAATATACTCAGATGGCAGCTTGATCTTGGATGTCTTTCCTTGCATTTAACTATGTTGTAAACAGTCCAAAAAATCCTCAATAAATTGCTCAAATTATCACAGTGAATGAACATTTGGAAAAAGCATATATTAGATCACAGAAACCCAAAATGAATGAAAGAATGAAATGTTCACTAAACCTCTCTCTCTGGCAGAAGAACATATCAAGACACAACTGCAAAATTGAACTTCCTTGATATGTCCAGCACAAAACATTCAATAACAAAATCCTTGGCAATATTATCACCCTATGCAACCACACACAAAGAAAAATTTTAATTTATTTTTATTTAACAACTCATTTAAAGACCATCAAAACGTCATCTTGCTTTTGAAGCCAGTCACCTAACCGCTGTTTTTATTGTTTTCTTTAGTGTTGTAATCCATCCTAGGGTTTTTCATACATTATACTAAAACTACACCACTTAGCTACATCTGGCTATCCATTGCCCACAATATCATAACCTTCTTTTATCCATTGCATGTGTGTCCAGTTGGTACATCCACTGTATCTCCCTGTGTAGCAGGAAGGACACAGCATTGCTGGAGGGAAGGTAGGACTCCTGCATATAGTGAGATACAGAGTGTGAACCAGAGAAGGCTCCCAAGAGATGTAGGTATGAAACAGAGATTTGGAGGAAAAACTTTCTGCTCCACAGGAAGGGGAAATGGAAAGCAATTCAGGCAATAGGAAAACAGATGAGGGGGAAAATAGTCTTAAGGCAATACAATACCTCTCAATACAATACCTCTTCCTTACTTCCATGTTATGTTAGCCTTCCATTTCTTCAGGAAGTCAGAAAGGCAGGGTGGACAGTTTGCTATTGATTAACGTTATCAGGAGACATAGCAAGAAACCTAGAGAAGGATTCCTAAGTCTTATTTTCTGTGCGGGGTAGTAGATATCCACATGCACTTGAGATTCTGTGTGTGACGTGCTAGAAAGGAGTTCTCAAATTAGAAAAGGGAGTCAGAGGCTCTTCTTCAAATCAGCTACATTGTGAATAATGCTCAATAGTTGAGAACCCTGAAGCCCTCTCCCACATTGTGAAGTCCTCAGGAAGCCCAGGAAGTCAGGGTGACGTCATAGACACCGACAGGTCCTTCTTACACTCTGCTCACAGGGAAGTCACTTAGGCCTTCTTCCTGTACCCTTCCACCCCAAGTAGCCCCTCCAGACTACTACTTTCAGACATGGAGGTCAAAGGTCCCAGGGCCCTGGAGCCCCAGACCTCTTCAGAGCATCCTAGACCTGATCTGAGCCCCAGCTCAAGCCTGGATAACAAGAATCCCCCCGGCACAGAGGTCAACAACCTGCTGCCAACAAAGAATGGAGCGGTGGTCATTGACATGGGCACTAGTACCTGTAAGGTGGGCTTCGCTGGGCATCCCAAACCCATGTACACCGTGGCTACCATCATGGGCTGTCAACCCAAGAAACAGGCCAGTACGGGGCACACAGAGCTGGAAACGTTTATTGGAGAGGTAGCCCGATTAAATCCAGAGCTGAGGCTAGTGCAGCCTATTCGCAGTGGCATCGTGGTGGACTGGGACGCAGCCGAGCTCATCTGGCGCCACGTACTGGAGCATGACCTCCAAGTGTCCCCCCAGGACCACCCACTGCTGTTCTCCGACCCGCCCTTCAGCCCTGCCACCAATCGCGAGAAGCTGGTGGAAGTGGCCTTCGAGTCGCTGCGATCACCCCGCATGTACGTGGCATCCCAGTCGGTACTTTCCGTCTATGCTCACGGGAAAATCAGTGGGCTCGTGGTGGACACGGGCCATGGGGTCAGCTACACGGTGCCTGTCTTTCAGGGCTACAATCTGCCCAATGCTATCGAGCGCCTGGACCTGGCTGGCAATCATCTGACTGCCTTCCTGGCAGAGATGCTCCTGGGCTCTGGCTTCCAACTTCAGCAACAAGATCTGGACACCGTGGAAAACATCAAGCACCAGTATTGCTATGTGGCCTCAGATTTCAAGAAGCAGAAGGAATCAGAGCAGGACTGCAAGAAATCTCTGAAGCTTCCCGATGGGAGGACCGTCACTCTGGGCAAGGAGCTGTTCCAGTGCCCAGAGCTGCTGTTCCATCCACCAGAGATCCCAGGGCTGTCGCCGGTGGGTCTCCCTTCCATGGCCAAACGGAGCCTCCTCAAGGTACCGCAGGATCTGCGAGAAAACGTTGCCCGCAACGTGCTCCTGTGTGGAGGCTCTTCTCTCTTCGCAGGATTTGAGAATCGTTTCCGGGCAGAGCTGCTGCAGGCTCTGCCCCCAGAGCAACAGGTGGTGGTGCTAGCCCAGCCCAACAGAAACTTCTCTGTGTGGATTGGAGGCTCCATCCTGGCCTCACTGCGTTCCTTCCAGTCCTGCTGGATCCTACGTGAGCACTACGAGGAACAGGGTCCCCACATTGTGTACCGCAAATGCTACTGAGCAGACACAGGGATGGAAAAGTGCGGGGTAGTAAAGCCTAGTCAAAGAAAATTCCTATTATGGTAGTGGTCATTATACGGTGAAATGTGAGGGGCACTTTGGATCTATGTGCCAGTATACCAAATCTACTCTGCTATATTACACCGTGTCTAATGATGAGCCAGTAGTTAAGGATGGAATGACCAATAATACATGAGACTCTTACTTAAAATTCCCATTCCATTCTTGCTGTGGATACAGATATTCAAATAAGTGTCTGAGAGGTCTTATTTCCACGCAGTGTGCATGGACACACACACATGTATCTATCTATCTATCTATCTATGAACGTAGAGTTTAGATAGAAGGAAAAAGTTAGAATAGAGAGGTCTTATTTCCACGCAGTGTGCATGGACACACACACATCTATCTATCTATCTATCTAGTCTATGAATGTAGAGTTTAGATACAAGGAAAAAGTTAGAATAGGCTTCTGAAAGGTGGTCAAAGAATAAACCAGACAGAGGACTGTACCTCAGGTAAACACTGAACTACAAGATGACCTAGAGAGTGAAGGCAACTTCAAGTATCCCATGATGACTTGAGCAAAGGGTTAAAAGGGGAGAAGATAGGCCTGACTCTTCTGTTCATTTCTTCCAGGTACCAAACATAGTGTGGCAATGGTTGAAGGCATTTTACCTCACTACTCTAATCTGAATATCATCAAATATGAAATTTTGATCTCTGCCTTTACTTATATCCAAAGTGGTCTAGTGTAGATGCTATAAAAGGGGTCCCCTTTCATTTCTTTAAAATCTTTTTATTATTAGTTGTTTTACAAAGGGGTTACAATTCCCTGTCAGTTTGTGAATACAATATTTATGAATAAAAAGTTTATTAATACAAAGCCATCCTCTTATCCTGGAGAACATACATTGCTTTATTGTCCTGGATTCTAATCTTAGAGGCATACAAAGAACATGGACAGAGAAGAACAAAGAATGAAGGCAACACAAGGAGTGTGGGCTTGGTTGTGTATCTAGTGGACAGAATTGGAGGATGTTAAATACAGGAAAAAGAATTTTCAGTTCTGTTTTTCTTGGAACAAAATAGAGGTTTGGGGGGATGTAAAAAGTAGGAGAAAATCCCATCATATGAGATAGTGCTACTGGCAATTTAATTTATGAAATAAGAGACATTATGGACTGTATCACTTATGTAGAATAATGGCCCTCTCTGAAAGAGATCCACGTACTAATCCTTGCAACCTGTAAATATGTAATATTGTATGGCAAAGGGAAACAAAGTGGCAGATGGAACTAATTGCTGATCAGCTGAATTTCATCTAAAGAGATGATCCTGGATTATCAAGGTGGGCCTGAAGTATGAGTCCTGAAGAGAAGAGTCAGTATCAGAGCAATGGGGTGTAGGAAAGGCTTGTCTGTAGTTGCTAGCTTTGAAAATGAAAAAATAAGGAAAATAGTGAAAAAAATAAGGAAAAATAATGAAAAAATTCAGAACAGTCTCTAGGAGCAGAAATGCAAGGAATTGGGTTCTTCCTTGCTGCCTCCAGGAAGAATGCAGACAGATCCTCCAACATCTTCTCTATAGCCTAGGGACATATAGCTCGGACTTTTCTAGAATTGTAGGCAATAAAGAAGAGTAGTTTTAAACAATTAAATTTGTGCAAAATTGTTTCAGAAGCAATTGGACAACGAATCTAAGTACCTAGGTCAGCCTATGCAAAAGATAGCCCTTGACTGAATATCACAATGTACCACATGAACCACTCCCAGCTAAAACATGAGACAAATGTTCTCATCTGTGATATTTTAGAAGAGGCACACCATACTTTGGTGATACAAGGTTCCTTTATATTTCAGGTTTCTTAACACAAAGATTGTGTGCGTGCATGTGTGTGTGTGTGTGTGTGTGTGTGTGTGTGTGTGTGTGTGTGTGTGTCAGTCCTAGAGCTTGAACTCTTGGCCTAAAGTCTAATCCCGAGTACTACTTGAGCTATAGCTCCACTTCCAATGTTCTTTGGTAGCTAATTGAAAGCTAAAGTTTCTAGGACTTTCCTGCCTGGACTGGCTTCAATCAGTGATTCTCAGATCTAAATCTCCTGATTATCTAGGATTAGAAGAGTGAGCCACCTGCAGTATAACACACCTGGAGATTTTTATATCTGTTGATCAATAAGGTCCTGAGTTCATTTCTGTCTAGTTAATTTAAAATACACTCAGTATTAGGAACTTTAAATGAAGCACTAAATTAAGAATAAGAGATTTAAGGTCACACAGCCATGATTCAAATCACAACTCTTGTATTCCTTAATAGTAATTTGACTTTGGGCAATTTTAAATACCAGAGTCTTAGTTTCTCTGAAAAAAAGAAATAGCAATATCTTAAGCCAGGATGTGTAGAATCACACCAAGAGATGAGAATTTCATGTAATTAAGGAATTCCAGAAAAGTTCCCATTAAAGTACCCAGAGTAAACAAGACAGAAAAAGAGGGAGATTTCAGGCAATATCTTAGTATCCACACGATCCTGCAAGGGAACACTTGTGGTGTAAATTACACCTTAGAATTTCTTACAAGTGGAGTAATAAGGCTGGGCTTTCATACTGTCTAGCAGAGTCCTTGGCAAAGGACATGCTGGGAGAGCTGTTAACTCCCTGGTGGCGGCTCCTCGCTTTCCGTGCCTACAGATGGACTGAATCCCAAATCCTGTGGCAGTCTTCCAGAGACAGGCAATGAGAAGAAGAAAAAAAAACAAAAAACAAAAACACAAAAGCCAAGGGGAAGACATTGAAGTTTAGCCAAAGAGATACTATCATCAGGGTAGAGCTTGACTGTGTCCCTTAAAAGTACCTCATAGGCCAGGCATAGGTGGTTCATGTCTGTAATCCTAGCTACTCAGGAGGCTGAGATCTGAGGGTCACAGTTCAAAGCCAGCTCCAGGAAAGTCTGTGAGACTCTTCTCTGCAGTTAACCAGCAGAAAACCAGAACTCGTACCATGGCTTAAGTGGTATAGTGCTTGCTTGAGCTGAAGAGCTGAGGGATAGCACCCAGGCGTAGAGTTCAAGCCCAATAACTGACAAAAAAAAAAAAAAAAACCTCAGAGAACTCTTCAAACAATTGAATGTGCTCAAACCTTTCTTTCTTTGGCTTTTAAGATTTCAAAAGTATTTCTTTGGGAGGGACAGGAGAATATGCACATAGAGTGCTAAGTGATGAACTAATTCTTCCTTGTCACAAACACAAACCCAAAATTGAAAAGGATGAAGAAATTATAGTGTGAGGCTTACCAGAATAGGAACTAATCAAATTTGTATAAAGCTATCAATTGTGCAATCACCAAGGAGTTGTGATATAGTCACATATGTCATAGATCCAGGAACTTGAGCAAACTTGAGACTCACAACTATTTGTTTACATCTCTGGAAAGGTAGTGGAAGCAATCATTTAATGATGATAATTTTGATAAATGCCATCATCCAGGCCTGATAGTAAATTTAAATTTCTAGAATACACTTTCTCTTATAGAAAAAAAATCTTTTTGCTTATTTTCAGGTCCATTTCTGATATCTTCATTTATAATAGCAACTTACTTTTAAGTATCATTTACAAGATACTTACAAACTTATCTGTGCTATCACTTCTTCACCAGTGAATGAACACAGTGTTAAGTGACTTAGTCAAGGTTGCACAGATATAGGTAGGATCTCTCTTTTTTTTGTAATTGGTTGTGGGGCTTGAACTCTGGGCCTGGGCGCTGACCCTGAGCTCTTCAGCTCAAGCCAAGCACTCTACCACTTGACCTACAGTGCCACTTCCTAAGTAGGATCTCAATTTCCCAATTCCCTAGCCTCTTTACTGTCCAAGAAATGTGTTGAAGGGGTTGGAGGCATGGCTCAGTTGGTACAGCAAAGCCAATGGGTGCAAGCAGTAGGTACTAAGTTCAACTCCCAGTCTTGGACCTAAAAAAGAAAAAAAGAAATGTATTGAAGTGACACATACTGGGCTGATAAGAATCTGCCATCTGTATTGCCAGTAAAACTTGCTAGGAAGCCAATTATAGATAGGTTGGGGAGACTCACTGGAACACCATATACTGGGGACCTGGACTATTTTACTTGGTGTGTAAAACTGGTCTTTCCAATACCACTGGCCAGAAAGCCATTTTTTAACCACCATGTAGTAGGTACAAACAGAAATGTGCTGGAACCAAGAAGAGTACCCCCCACGTCACCACTTCCCTCCAGTTTTATTTTATATTTATACCAGAATTGTTCTAGCACCTCTACTGGCACAGCCTAAAACTGTGCTAATTGACAACAAAGAAATGTTTTCAGATTACAGTTTTAATATACAGAGTGAGAATGACAGGTTTGGAGCTGAAAAGTCCTGAACTAACTGACATGTGACTGCATTTGGTTTCTGGATAAAATTTCTGAGCATAAATTTTCTGCTGAGCTGTTTTTTTTTATTCCGGTTTTCTGTAAAATAATCAGACTTCACCTTTGTTGACCCTGTACTGTGTGATGGAATGATACTAGGGAAGTGTATGAGGAGAAAGTTCAGTGCAGTGATCCAGAGAAGGTCTAGATACCAACCTCTTGGGTCTCAATAGCTGTCAGCTTCACCACTGAGCAGATTTGTAACCTTGCTATGTTCATCTCCATAGTTCTGTTTTCCTAAATATAAAAGTCCATGCCACTACATACTGCCTGTAGCGTTAGTTCCAGATCTCTGAAATGTCCCTGGCTCCCTGGATAACCTTCACCAGTCCCAGCCAATGTTCTAGAGATCTGTTTCCCGAGGCACAAAAACTGAGAAAGTTATACACTCCATCCTCCTTTAAGATCTCCTCCCCAAAGAGGAAGGAAATTTGCCATTAAACACCTACCTGTCTGTGCCAGCTGCAGACTTTACCTGATTTAATCCTCACCCCTGAATTAATCCTTACCAAGCTCTCTCCAATTAGCATGTTTAACCCTCCCTAACCATGAAGGAAA